CCATGGTCCATCCGAGGCGCACAAGCGTGAGCCTGAGCGCCGAAAGGGAGCCACGAACAGTAGGCCAGGTGAAGCGAGGAAGAGCAAAAACTGACTGCCAGTTTCTCCTCAACTCAGGATGCTGAATGGAGAACGGATGAACACGAGCCTGGGCTAACCAAATCTCTCTGCCCCACCTCAGCAACGGGGCGCAGGCAGCACGCCAGCAAGGGTCGTCAGACAACAAACGCACGGCCGTGAGAGAACGCCCTTTAGAGAAAGGTCTGACCGTCGAGAAGGCTTACCTTCGCATCGTCAGCAGGACCTGATCACTCACTCCAAGAATGTCCGCGCCGCACGTCCCTCCAGGGAGAGGACCGCACGCGTGCACTCTCAGAGCTCTGCGACCAATGGTGCCTGACTGACGCTTGAGACGTCGAGCTTTCCCCCCAGCCAAGGCCACGCGGGCTTTGAGCTTGGAGCAACGGCCAGAAACACGCGCAGCAGCTCCAGCGGTGTAACCCACACCGAGGTTGGCCGTAGAATCGGTGACCCTGCCTCCCAGCTGGCCGAGCGCAGAGGCAAGGTCACGACCAAGAGACTTACACGAGGCAACAGTGCAAACCTTGTCTAAAGAAAGTTGGCAATTCCTCATGTCAGGGGCAGTGATGGCACGATGAAGGGCAGCAGCGGCAGAGACGAGACCAGATACAGCATGCTGACGAGTGCCAGTACAAGAAATACTCGTGTCATCGATTTACACATCAAACTCCAGGGAACTAATGTAGGGGATGGAATCAAACGAGGACATAGCATGCACTCTGATATGAGTAGTGGCCATACTACACCCAGCTACCACTCCATTGCCCACGACATGAGGACCGTCCAGAATGCCAGCAATCGAGACGAACCTGCCGCAACGATAGGCGAAGAGGGTGAGCCGAGTGAGCACTTGGGGGAAATCCACCTGGGCACAGCGGGCTTCAAGGGTGTCGAGGTGAATAGTTTCGTAATACTTCAGCATGTCGTAAAAAAACACTCGCGCTGCATTCATTTCTGGAGGTGACAGCTTCAGCTCGAACTGACTGCCTCCACATAACATCCGAAGCTCCCCGAAAAGCACCAGCAGCCCAGTACCTACGGGGGTGTTGCTGCTCCCAGGACAGAGCATGGGGCCGTCGAAGACGGCCCCACACTCTGTACCAAGGGCAGAACACCCCTATCGGCCTGTAGCCACCTGTGGGCTTCGTGAGCATAGCAAGAAGAACTGCACTGATCTGGCTGGGCAGCTGACCGAGAGATTCCATCAGCTCAAACAGCATGCCGTGCGAAATAAGACCTTCCTCACTCAAGTGCTGGAAATGCCTACAATCAAATCCATCATAAGTGACGGCAGAGGTCTTCTTATATGTTTGCGAACCTTCCTGAGTTCTTCGGGAGTGGCACGGGGGAGAGGGTTCGCAAGAGAGAGGGGGAGCGAGGTCGCCGACGCCAGCCCCCCAAAACTTGGAAAACTTACCCCCTTTACTGGCCGATAAGCTGAGGGGGTCAGCCACTATAACCCCATCACGAGACAGAGTAGTGGCGGGGACCCATGGGGTGGGATCCCTGGCGATAGCATGGACATTACGAGCACCCTGGTCGATACCCTTAGTAAGCCACGCTCGCCAGTCAGCCTGAGAACGCGTTTTGGAAGAGGCCTCCGCCTGGGAGGCAGCACCTGAAATCGACCCAAAGAGATCGCGAGCAGCTTCAAGCTGATCGGCCGTCATCTGTCTGCCTCCTAGAGACGAGACCAAATCATGCACTCTCTCAAAGGTGCCAGAGAACATTGCAGAGTGACGCTTGACCGAGGCAGGCGGGCCACAGAGCAAAGCGCCGATCCTCGAAGCTTGTGCTCCTGCACCTTGGTCCGAGCTGTGCAGACTAAGGCAGGCGCGAAACTGAGCAAGCAACCACATGATGGCGCGATGCTCTGGATACCTGGGTTGCCCGCTCCTTCCCACAACACTCTTCCACATAAGCTGGGGTCCTTTGCTCCTCGTGCCCTTGACCGCCAGCCCCGCCCCCGTAATCTGCATCAGCTCAGCCTCGGCTAAATCGGCCCAGGCTGCGTAGCCTGGTGATAAATGGCCAAGCGCAGTGGCGGCATCGCCAGCGGCAACTGCATCGAGGCCAGCCTGCGCGCGAGTGATGACGTGAGTCCAATCTGGGGGCTCGGGACGGGAGCCGAACACGGGTTCCCTGGGAAGACGGGGAGGTTTCCTGCAACAAAAAGCTTTCAGCGACGCAGGAGACTTGTAGAAGGCTAAGTCAACTGGGCGATGAGGGCTCAAAATATTACCATGGACAACCGAACAACTCTTGAAGGCTTTGCCAAGGCCTCCGCTACAGATGAAGAAGTCAAGGGAGGACGGGCCCCCCTTGCCGAAATGAGTGTGGCCAGGCGCATGGATCAATTGACCCTGCAGCTCCGAAACAAACTTAGTGGCCGGGAGCTTGTCTGGGGGCATGTTGAAATCTCCTCCAATAACAAACGAGGCAGCAGCAGCATCCGCACGGACACCAAGCTGGCAGAGGAGATCCATGTTACGATCTGAGGTGCCTTCGCTGTCATAGAGATAGACCGAGAAAGCATCAAAGGTGAAACCTCTTGGGATCTGCACCTTCGCGTGAGAGAGATGGCCCTTGGCTATACCGCGCCCCCCGGGAGGGGGGGGGGGGGGCAAAGACCGAGGAAGGATTTAGCAAACACCGCAGCGCCTCCCGAAGTGCCCCCCATCCGTCAACACAGCTGGGGTCCACAAACTCTTCCAACCATTGCGTGCACTCCACTGAGAGGCGACGTGTATTTCTTCACTGGACGCTAACCTATGCTCCTGGATCAGGAGAACATGAGCAGGCGTGTCAGGAAGCATCTTCTTCAGAGTGCCCCAGCTGTTGCAGTTGATGCTGCGAACAGTCAACTCGATCGAGCTCAGCCCGTCAGAACCCTTGGGGCCGCGCGCGGGACTAGGGGTCACAGGCGAGGAAGGAGGGGCCGCGGGGATCCTGGGGCCAGGCACCACAACCACAGGAGCGTCGGGCCCAGGGGATGCCAGCACAGGATAGGCGACCTCAGGGCAAACAAAACTGGCAGACTCCGACTTGGAGGCCTGCAGAGAGCCTATGTCTGGGCAGCCTTCCGACAAAACTCGTTGCGACCACCACAAAGTGTGACGCACCGCATTCCTAAGGCCCCCTCGGCCTTGGTAGCGGACGTCGCGAGCACGGAGGGAACGACGGAAAAACTGCCGACAGGCTAATGGAGATGCGTGAAACGTGCGATTGCCGAAACCCCCCCTGCTAGGTGGCCGCGCAGGGGGGGGCTCACCTGAAGCAGGAGCGGATGCACCGAGTGCTGCATCCGTGCGGGCTTTGAGCTCCGCTGCGGTGGGCTCACGCGCAGGCTCAGGTTGCGCTGGCGCAGGCGCCTTCGCTGGTGCAGCAGCTCCTGCAGCTGCTGCTCCTCCGCTGGGCGCCGCAGGCGCTGCGCTCGCACTGCGCGGCGCTGCCGCTGGCGCTGCGGGCACTGCGTCTCCACCTCCACCGCCTCCGCCATCTGCTGCAGCTGCTGCTCCACCTGGAGAAGGGGGCGGAGCTTCACCACGTCGGCGCTTGGCCGCGAGACGGCGCAGGTGCTTGTCATGTTCTTCTCGAACCTTCTTGGCTTCGTCGCTGGCTTGCTTGAAGAGGGTGGTGCACATCTGCTTGACCCCATCTGCCAGCTGCTTGGACCTGCGATCGAGCTCTTCACGATCCGCAGGGGAAACTTCATACTCGGTGTCGTCAATATTGAGAAAGCCAACGTCGATGGTGAGGACATCCTCCTTCCCGTCAAGGATGTCCTTGACTGAGAGGACTGCACCTCCACTAGAATGCTCACGATCAAGCTTACCAATGAGAGTCTTGTGCAAATCCTCTGCCGCCTGCAGCTCATCTCGAAGGCTTGAAACTTCATCTCGCTGACGACGGAGGGAACTGTCCATTTCCTCGTACTTTGCGAGAGCGGCCTGGAGCCTTTTCTCAGTCTGCCTGAGCTTGCTGTGTGCACTGTTGACCTGAAACTGCAAAGACTGCGAGGGCAAGGGCTGGCGGCGATGAGCCACGGAACGGTACCTGGCCCCTCCCTCCATGTCCCCTCCCTTCTCGAGGAGCACAGCAAGTTGATCAATTTCATCAGGAGAAAGACCTTCCAAAGCAATAGGCTTGGCTTTGTCCCCTGATCCGTCATTGCTGGGAGGGTAGATCCATTCACAAGTCGGGGTCCAAGGCGCCTTACAGTGCTTGCACCAGGTCCACGACAATAGATTTTTCTTGCATCCGCACTGGCCGCAAACCCAACGGCCTTGCGCCTGGGGCTGGGGCGGAGTGAAGCCTCCTTTCCCAGATCCTTTGCCTCCAGGTTGTAGACCAGGCTGGAGGAGAGGATGGACGGCGAGAACGGCTCCAACGATTGACCGCCCCCTCACCACGCGCAGACATGGCGGCGCCAGCTGGTGGGGAATCTTGACTCGTGCTGAGCGACGGGAGCCAAAATGACTCGCTGTCACCCAGCCGTTCTGAAGTGTCGGTGACAGCAAGCACAACTTGTGCCAGAACGGCTAACTGGTCGGCCCAACAGACGCCGGAGGCTTCACAATGGAGACTGCAGTCAGGAATGCTGGCTCAAGAATCCTGAGCCAGCCTCCCATGATTCTCCAGGGGCCCTCGAAGGTCCGAAAAACTCGATCCTCGACAATCCATCGATCTCCTGACTACCTACCAAACCACCCCACCCCAACCCGAAGACCCGAATTTCGGGTTGGGGGGGGGGGGGTACGGGCCTCATGTGTGTTTTCTCCACGTTCCTCGACCCCCCCCCAACTGGAAATGGAGGGCGAATTGGGGCCTTCGGGTTGGGTTGGGGTGGTTTGGTGGGCGGTGATCTCCTCCTCCAGGCTGCACAACAAACAGACACACGGGGGCGGGGGGGGAGCGGCCGCGACGTGCACGCCCGCCGGCAGCCCGAGGAGGAAGTCCATCCCGCGCAGGGTCCGCCCGCCACGGCGATATCAGCCCAGAGCGCGCGACCTTCGGTCCACCCCCCCCCAGGAGTCCCAAATCGAATCGATGAGTCGATTCAGCGATCGAAATGAATCGGATCGGCGGAAATCGGCAGCCGAGCCGAGAGAAGTCGAATCGGCGAAAATCGGCAGGCTGGTACGCCTCCAGTAAGGAATCGGAACCCAAATCGGAATCCGAAGTCGAATCGAATCGGAATCGAAAGCCATCTAAATCGGATCGAATCGAATTGGAGGAATCGAAGCGAGCCCTGCCCCCCCCACGGGCACCTGGAGACACCTGGAGCGCTGAGGGCCAAACACGCGGGACCCTGAGATCCGGGCGTTCAAATTTGCTGACACACCGGGCGTTGTCTCCTGGTCTCGGGCCCTGGACCATCACGGGCCGATCCGGCGCTCGAAACATGCCGGGGAAAGATGCTGTCGAGCGCTCCGGTCGTGATGTCTCGCGATGTTGCAGCTTTTGTGACGCGGCGTCGGATCTCGGGGTCTTCCATCCCATCGTACGCGCGCCCCCTCGGTGCCAGAGATGCACATTGAAGAGGAGATCCACGGAGAAGAGGAACAAGAATAGCACAAGAATACTCGCGAGCAGGCACGAAAGATCATGCGAGATTGATGCGAGACGGACGGGAGGTGGTGGACGAGGGGGGGAAGCCGACAGGTTGGTGGCGATGCGAAGAAGAGTTCTGCGATCCGACCCGTTGCCCATCGCGGGGCCTGAAGCGCCGGTCACGCTCGGGGGGGGGCGCGCGCGCGCGCTGGCGCACGCTGCGCAAAGAGCCGAGACTTACGCGCGCGCTGCTCACTGGTTTCGCGACCTCGGAGTCTCCCTAAGACCATCCCCACCGTCATCCTGCCTCCTGCTCCTCCGAAGCATAACTTTCGAAAGCTCAGCAGGAGAGGAGAACGAGGAGGAGGAGGGGGAGGAGGAGGAGGAGGAGGAGGGGGAGGAGGAGGAGGTTGATGTCCTGCGTTCTCTACCCAGGATTGCAAAGGATCCTGTCTCACAAATGCACTCGCTGGAGCTTCCTTGCCCGCTCCCAGCGATCCCGCCGGCCCTCTGAGCGGCTGGTGGCCCAGAGGTCATCTCCCCGACCTCTCCTCCGGTCCACTGGCGAGGGCTACCCACCCATCCACCCTCCGCCTTGTCCTCCTCTTCGTCCTCTTCCTCATCCTCCTCGTCCCCCTCCTCCTCCTCCTCCTCCTCCTCCTCCTCCTCCTCCTCCTCCTCCTCCTCCTCCTCCTCCTCCTCCTCCTCCTCGTCCTCCTCCTGCCCCTCCTCCTCCTCGTTCTCCTCCTCCTCCTTTTCCTCCTTCTTCTCGTTGGTTCGCTGTTCTTCGTCGACCTTCGATCTACCGAGGTCCTTCCTCGGGCTCGGCCTCCGCGGGGCGCCGCTTTCGGGCCCCAGGGGCGGATCTGGGACGCACAGGCGCTCCCTGGGAAGGCGGCCGGACCCCGTGAGTCGAGTATGTCCCTGGGCCAGGTCCCTCGCCCTGCTATATGGCTGCGCGCAGGAGCCTCACAACTTTCTCTCCTCGGCCAGGTCCCTTGCCTTGCTATATAGCTGCGCACAGGAGCCTCACAAGTGGCCGTCGGTGCAGCTTGGTTGGCATCGGCGCGTCGCCCATGGCGGCCAGTTGGTCCCAAACTAATATCGCAGATGGAACAAGACAGTGGCACGCCTCCCGGGCGCCCTGCGCCCCGATCCTCTAGACTACTAAGGTCGGGCACGTCCCCCTACAGGCGGATTGCGGCAGAATAATTAAAACTGTGGAAAAGAAATTTAGAAACTGGTCAGAAAATGGCCAAACATAGCCAGGAAATGATCGCAGAATCGTCACCTGGCGATTTGTTTAGTATCCTCTAGACTAAGGTCGGGCATGTCCCCCTACAGTCAAAAACCCTAATAAGGACGCGCGGCAAGGACGCAAGACCCTTGGAAGCCGAAGTTGGGATTTTGGGGGCGGCGGACGACGAAAACCCCAAGGACGCAAGAGCAAGGAAGAGCAAGGACGCAAGGGTACCCGGAGCAAAGTCGCGCGTCCTTATTAGGGTTTTCGACTGTACAGGCGGATTGTGGCAGAGATATTTAAAAACTGGTCAGAAAGGGACCAAACATAGCCAGAAAAGGATCGCAGAGTCGTCCCCTGGCGATTTTTTTTAGTGTCCTTGAAGCTTCCAACTGTAGAGGGGCATGCCCGACGTTTAGCTCCAGACCTGGCCCCCCCCCAGGCATACCCCACTCCGGAGGCCTCCCCCCCGCGCCGCCGCACCTCCCCGCCCTGGGCCTGCGGCGGACCCCGTCTGTGGGCGGCTGGCAGCGCGGTGGCCGCCCCTGACGAGCCCCGGAGGGAGGACAGGGCGAGGCTTAGGTCGGGCATGCTCTCCTACAGGCGGCTTCTGGACGGACAATACAAAATACAAACTACAAAGTCAAAATAATAGAAAAGCCGTCCCCAGACTATTCTTTGACTGTCTTTCAATATTTCTCCTGTAGAAGGGCAGGCCCGACTGAAGGCGAGCCATGGATGAAAACCCTCGCTGGGCGGAGCCTCGGGTCGGAGGAAGAAAGGGTACCCAAAACCGCAACCCTTGCCTCGCATTTCCCCAGGAGGCCCTCGTCGCCACCGCTGGAGTCGCCTCGAGGTCGTGGTCAGAACGCACCCAGGGAGGGGTGTGGGGAGTAGCGGTGTCGATACCCTTTGGCTTTCCCATGGGATTTGAAGGTTAGGCGGGCCCCTCTGGACCCTTTGGGCCTTTTTTTTCACACGTCTTTAAATATACATACACCTATGTGTATATATATAGAGAGAGATACATACATATGTAAAGATCTACTGGCATACGGTCGGACCTGGGACAAACGAACATCCTTCAAGAACATGCGAGCCTCCGCCGGCCAAAACACACAGAACATCCGAGGGTACTCTCCCCAGGATGCACAAGAACATCCAACAGACACGAAGAACCTTAGGGTACCCTCCCCGAAACGATCTCGATATTTTTCCTCGGTACGACCGTCACCAGGACGAGTGCACGCGTGCGGCATTATGTTCCTCATGCAGTTCTAGCCGCCTGCTTCTCCTTTGGACGTTCCTGGCATGGCAGTCATAGAAGAACAAAAAACAGCAAAACAAAAACTGCCGGCGCTCGGCGCGGACTTCTTGGATCTGCGCAGGGCCTCCCTCCCCGGGGGGCCAGCGCGGATCCAAGACATCCGCGCGGAGCGCCGAACGTTGACGTTTGTGCCGTTTTCTGCTCTTCGAAGTCAGACAAGAAGAAAGTCAGAATCAGCGCCTGCAGCGGAGATCGGCCCCCCGCGAGCCGCGGGCGCGGCTGGACTGCCCCCTTCGCGGCCTCCTGCGTCGTCGTCGTCGTCGTCGTCGCCGCCGCCGTCGTCGTCGTCGTCGTCGTCGTCGCCGCCGCCGTCGTCGTTGTCGTCGTCGCCGCCGCCGCCGTCGTCGTCGTTGTCGTCGTCGCCGCCGCCATCGTCGTCGTCGTCGTTCGGGGTCGGCGGCACCGGCCGCAAGACCTCTCCAATCGAGCTCAGCGCCTGAAGCGGACATCGGCCCCCCGCGAGCCGCGGGCGCGGCCGGACCGCCCCCTCCGCGGGCTCCAGCTGCGCCGCGGGCTCCGCGGGCTCCTGCTGCGCCGCGGGCTCCGCGGGCTCCTGCTGCGCCGCGGGCTCCGCGGCCGGCCTACGCGCGCCGCCTCGCGCGCCTCGCGCGCCTGGCGGCCGGCCTGCGCGCGCGCCTCGCGCGCCTCGCGCGCCTGGCGGCCAGCCTGCGCGCGCGCCTCGCGCGCCTCGCGCGCCTCGCGCGCCGCCTCGCGCGCCGCCTCGCGCGCCTGCTCCATCGCCTCCGCCTGCGAGATGGGCACGGGCTCGTCGCCCTCTTCGAGCTCGCCTCTGGGCGAGCAAACCGATGATCCCCGGAACATGTGTCAGCGCCAACGTGTGCCTGTCCCCCGAGGCCCTGCAATGCGACGCAGGCGGCTCAACGAGGGCCGACACCGACTGCGCGCTGTCAGCGGAGCCGAACGGGGTCAACATACGCTGGGGCTAACACGTCCTGAGGATCAGCGAGCAAAGCAATCCCCACCCCCACCGGGGAGACCTTACCTTGGCCCCGCTGGGCACCCCACCCCCCCTGGGTGGGGATGGGTACCATCTCCCTCGGGCTTCGGAGCACCCGCCCCCACCCAGAGGGCATACGCTGGGAGAGCCAACTCTCTCTGCACTGGTGGGGGTGGGGATGGCTCCGACGAGGGTGATCGCCAGCGGGAAATGCCGCGGCCGGCGGCCGGCTCGACGCCGCGGCGCGCTCCTCCGCAGCGGCGGGTCGCCGGCTCGCCGCGGCGGCTCGCTCCTCGGCTGCGCGGTGCTCCCGGGCCCCCGTCCAGCGCCGCTCTGGCGGCGCCTCACCGCCCCCGGCCGCCGTCGCCTCTCGGGAGAGGCAGGGAGGAGCCATGACGCGACGCCGCGGGGGCACCATCGGCGCGTTGCTGCTGGGAGTGCAGCGCGGTCGGGCGAACAGCGAGTGAGCTCTCACGCCGCTGGGGCCCCCGCGGCGGCATGCCAGGGACGCTCTTCCCTCCCCCCCCCGATGGACCAGAAAACAAGCGGCACCACCCCACCCATGGCCCCACGGGCCGTAGCATATACCAGGACGTCTGGCGTGGGTTTTTGCATGGTATACGCTACGGCCCCCGATGGGCCGTAGCGCAACATGGAAGGCCGTAGGTGGGGTGGTGTCGTTTGCTTTTTGGCCGACCAGAGCCTCTGCGCGCACGGGCGCGGCCGTCGCCTGTCGCTGCCGCTCCCTGAACGCGGCCCACCCCGACTTCACCGGCGCCTCGCCGGCCTTGGCCCCCGAGGGCTCTGCAGCAGCCTCTGGCCGTTTGTGCGGCGAGTGCCGGCGCATGGGCCGGTTGGTGCTCGGCAGGGTGCACTGGTAGAATGTGGCCATCCAAGGAGTATCAGCCGCGGTAAACCCAGCTCCATTGTTCTGATGGCTCGTTGCTATCGGGTCCTTGACCAAATACTCGGGGCCGTACGTACGGCTCATGGCGTCACACGCGTGGCCAGCTCGGCCGAGGACGGCGCTCCAGAGAGGAAACAGTGCGGCCAGACGCCACCGGGCAAGCAACGTCTGTCCGAGATCGTGGGGGACAGGAGTTCGCGTCAAGTCGTCCGCAAGGCTGCGAGGGCGCAGGGTCCAAGTGATAAACGAGTCCTTCCAACTCACTCCATGGCGCGCTGGTGAGGAAACGTTTGCACTGAGCCGAAATGGACGAAAGTGTCATGTGGGCCTCTTTGAGGGTGTGCGTTGTGTCCCTGTTGGGGCCCGATTGTTTCGGCGAGCTGCTGATACTTGGCAAGGCTACTGGTGCTGGCACGCTGACGGCTTGACAGCAAGTTTCTGCTGAAGTGCTGGATGTGATAACACAAAACATGTTGTTCAAAGCCTCGTGCCCGCAGAGTTTTTTATTATCAGCCTGCTGGGGGAAGAGGAGGATCAGGAGGAGGAGGAGGTGGTGGAAGGAAGAGGAGGAGGGAAGAAGAGGGAAGAGGAGGGAGGATAAGGAGGGAGGAGGGAAAAGGAGGAAGAGGAGAAGAAGAAGGAGGAGGGAGGAGGGAGGAGGGAGGAGGAGGAGGATGGCCAGGAGCTTCGGCCTCGTTCGCAGGACATGGCCCTGCCCCACCCATTGCGTTCCCTCCGTCTCTCCTCCGCCTCTGGCCGCTACGGGGGGCTGAGGACGTCAGCGCACGCCGCACAGGAAGTTCACGTTGAGGTTCGCACTCCGAGCCTCGAAGATCCAGGTTTTACTCTTTCTCGCCCTCGGGGGGCCTTCCTCGTCGCCGCGGCGGAACGCGGCTCGGAAACCTGGTGCCTTTGGACCTCGGGAGTGGTCTACGGCCCCTCTTGAGCGGCGGCACGGATCAGAGGGGGCACTTCCGTAATCTGTGTGGTGTGGCGTCTCCACGACATTTGAGACACGGTGCGTTTGCCGTGTTGTCCGCGCCATCTCCGTGACGTTGATGTGCTGGGGAGGGCGTCGTCAACGTCCTCAGTGTCACCGCCATCGTCATCGTTATCGGCCGCGTCGCTAACCATAGCCGCTGGTTCGACCTTCGGCGAAACTGCCACTGCCCCTGGCCGCCCAGCTTCGTCACAAGATTGACTCGTGCGTCATGCGGTGTGGCGCGACGTGCGGACGGGTATCCCATGGCACGCTCTCGCTAATTTCGATCCAGGGGCTCTGGGCCCCGCGGCGCCAAGTGTCGACCACGCAGCGGCGTGGTTTGGCGCCGCGTGGGCTGCCGGGAGGCTCCACGCCGCGGCTCCTCTGGAATGGCAGCCCACGGAAAACGCTCGCATCACACGCAGGGAGACGGTGTGCACCCCTGCTGGTGCACCGTCCTGGGCGGGCGGCGAAGGGGCGCGCTCCTGCGCAGGCCCTGCGCGGGGCCTGCGCCAGTGGTGGGCAATTGTCTGGACGGCTACGCACGGCCACCATGCCAACCCGGGCACACATTAGCATCGTCAGCTGCACGAGCCGAAACTCCATCGGCCCCGACGAACACTGTGCAAAAAACGGTGGAGCTCCCCTTCTGGCGACGCGATGCGAAGGCCCTGGGGGCCTTCCCCAGACTGGAACCTGAAGCCGCGTGCGAACATTTAGCGAGACCGCATCCTGATCTTCGGAGCCCGGGATCGCCGCCATCTTCGCCCCCGCCCGCGTCGCCGAACTGGAAGACGGAGGGCGCCCCACACAGCCCCTCCCGAAGCAGTTATCCTCGAACGCCTCGACCCCCTGGCACCACCAGGCATCGCCGTCCCGCGGCGGCGGCACGCCCGCCCAGGACTGCGGCAACCGCGCATCCAGCAGCATCGCCACCTCATAATGCGTGCACTCACGGGGAACGCATGGGTCCGACAGCTGATAAATACAGCGAGGCCACGCCTGGTGCAATCCCAAACTCTTTGACATGACGACCCACGTTCGATCCTACATCTGCTGCACAAGGGACACTGGCTGCTTCGCTGTGTTAGACCTCCTTCCCCCTGCTGCCGTCGGCACAAGAATCACAGCGGGTCCATATCTACTTGGTCCCGCCTTCAACTGTCGAAGGAGCGCGCGATGCCGAAAGATTGCACGCGCCCCCATTGCAATCCTTGCCCGTGAAAGCACGGTGCTGCATCTTTCCACTCGCATTCACGCACGAAGGCGTCTGGCATGCCCGCCGCTGCGCACCCCGTAACCGCCTCTGGATTGAGACGCCAGCGATGCTGCAACCCTGACCCGCTACCTACCACCTGCCAGTCTGCCGGGCCATCTGGCTGTCAACCCTCTTGCAACAAATACGAAATCACCGCTGGGTGAGAACCTCGAATATGGCTGCCTCGCCCCCGGGGCGCCCAGCTACGCGCCTCCCACGCAATCAGCCCCCAGGTTGCGACAAACGCGATCTGACCCACAACTGAAAGCATTCGCGAGGGAAGCGACATGCGGGATCGCGCCATGGCGCGCGCAGATCAAGCAGCGTCATCACACGCCTGCCCGCCAGCCGCGGGCTGGTAGCGCCGCGCAGAAATGCCATCGACCGCCGCATTCTTTGACGAAAGAAGCCTTGCACATGATGCGCGTGCGCCCCTGCAGCAGCTGCCCCTCGCTGCTCCAACTTGGCGGTCAATCTGCAGCAACGAGCTGCGCAAGCATACTTCACCACTGGCGTGCATTCTGTGACGTTCAGCAATCTGCGATGTCCTAGTCTTCCTCGCGCGCGACTTGCCTCCTCCGAGGTCCATCCCAAAATAAGGTGCCCGCGATGCTGTTTGCACCTGAAAACCAACAGTTTGAGTCGTCTCGCAATCTCGCTCCGTGCGCACCGCCTCACTGTTAGGAAATCTTACTCAAACCATCCTGCACCATCAACTGGCACGTCTCACGCAAGCACGATGCGAGATGAGCTCGCGCTGCCTTGCGAAATGCTTTAGTAATCTTACTCTCATCGTCGATCCACAACCTGCGCGACGTCTGCGCGGGGAATGTCGCAATTCTTTCCGCGCTGAGAAGATGCGACCACCTTGGCAAATCTCGTGCCAGATCGCAGCCCTCGAACGGCTGATCGCGCTGGCCTGAAGGCTTCTGCACATGCCCTTAACGGCCCGACACAGCTCGCCGTCACACACGGCAACAGCTACAGACCCAGCACCCCCGCTGGGCAAGTGATCGCGAAGCTGCAGGCCCGAGACGCCACCACCCCGCCGCGTCGCAGAAGCTGGCGACGCCCAGGCCCTGGGCGTCGCCAGCTGGGCCCCCGGAGGCCATTGCCCGCGGCCGCCCCAGGGCGCGCCGCGAGCTCCTCAGCCACCACTCCGAGGAAGGCCCCCTGCAGCGCCGCATTGCCGCGGATCGCGGCGCTCCAGGGCGCCTCGCTGTCCTGCGACCACGCGCGCACCCAAGGAGCCCTCGCCTGCGTCCACAGCCTGGCGACGCGCGGCGGCAGGCCGACGACAACGTCGCCCGCCACCGTCGCCAGCAGCAGGGAGCCGATGGTCAGCGTGAGCTGATGCGTCCATGGCTGCAAACTTCGCAAGCTCCCACTATGGCCGCGAGCTCCTCAGGGGCAGCGTCTGGAAGCCTGTCTGCGTCGGGCGCCGCGAGGCGGCAGACTCCCATGACTGCGGATTGCTTCTCCAGCTGACTCGCTTCTCGAAGCTGAACGTGGAAGTGTTTCGTCGGCAACCCTCTCACGAATGTCCTCGGAAAGCTCTCAAAGGCACTCCAACTCTTGCCTTTCAGGACTCCATGAGTCCTTGAAACGCTGCTGCTTCTTATCCATAACATATCCTGGAAAGTGAACAGTACGAATTCTGTCGATCAGTGCCGCTGGAACATGCGGTCAATCCCGTAGCGACCAATGTAAAGCTGATGTACATTTTGCTTCCGTGGAAAAACTTAACTTGGCGATAAACTTGTTCATGGCTCTCCGTTGACTGCGTTGAGCCACTCTCCCACTGAGCTCAACTGCCATCCTCAACTTATTGTCGCCTTGCTGCTCTACCTTTGCCAAAAGCTCGAACCATGCCACCAACGTGATGTGATCGCTGGGCCGGAAGATACGATGACCTTGCTCTGTTGTTTTTGTCTGGCAAAGGAGAACATGCCTGCACTAGAAGATTCGGCGCCGTTTCGCCTGGATGTGCCCGGCGTGCGTCTCCAAGAGTGTGCGCGAGCGTGTCCACCACCCGCTGATGCGATCCCTCAATGCCCTGGCCATCGCTCGGACGTCCATTCCCTGTGTTTTTGTTCGGTTTTGTGCGTGGTTTTTTCGCCAAATTATCAAGGATGCTCCCCGATGGTCCTCACCGAGAAAAAATACACACGTCCGAGCGATGCCAGGCGCCGAGATCTTCGCGGATGCGGCTTTCATTAGAGTACCGACACGGACCCTGGGACCGCCTGCTCTCGAAGGCCCAAGGGGAGCCTGACCACGACGTGCAGCAGCCGTGGACTCAACTGATCGCATCGATCGCAGGATCTATCACAGGGCTGAGCCCAAACGGTGTTTTTCGTCTTCGTTTTGTCGTTTTCCCCCGTTTTGTCTTCAATCCACCTCCACCACGAAACGAAGCCAAAACGAACACGGCCCACGACATCGCCAAAAAACACTGTCTAGGTCCAGCCCTGATCTAACACGAGGCGAAAAGGCTATACGGAGCACGCAGCAGCAGCAGCAGCAGCAGGCGGGCGCAAACCCCGAGGCAACGAAGCCCACGCTCTAGGCCGCCGCCCGAGGTATGTCCCTCACTCTCCCCAGGGAGAGGGCACGCTCGGGCCGTTTTCGCACGAGCTCCGCCCCACACCCCCGGCGCGTTCGGGCGCACCACGCCTTGAGCAGCAATGGCTCGTCGAACGCCCGGCCTTCTTCAACGTGCCAGTGGTGGATTCCCTCTGCTTCGCGCTCGCCGCGTCGCGGGCATCGCAAGAGGCAGGCCCCGTTGACCTCTCCGGCCCCCCCAGGGCCCGGGACGTTCAACGAACGAGGGCAGCGTGCCAGTTCCTTCCTCGTTTGCGTCGCGTTCGCCTCGGCGCGAGCATCGCGGGATGCTCTTACTTTCTTCGCGCTCGGCGCGGTGCGCGCGCGTCGCAGGCTGTAGGCATCATCCTTCTCCTCTTCCTTTGCCTTTGCTAAGTTATACTATCAATGCCGAGGCGTGTCTCCTCCTCCTCCTGTGCCTTTGATAAGTTGTACCATCGATGCCGAGGCGAGGTCACCAGCGGGCTGCGATCGCAGTGGAGGGGTCGAGCCCC